GAGTTATTGCCCTTGTTCTTGAAAACATGTTCAATTTTAGCTCGTGAAAACTCTACAAGATAAATATTCAATCTTCAACTCGGTACTGAATAATAAAACCAAGTTTTGTCAAAATTTGGCAAGAATCATGTGTTTAAGAGCTTTAATTTTAGAGCGTTTTCAAGAACGAGGTCAATAACTCCAATGAAACATATTTCGATTTTTTTGATTTTCAATAGGGTTTATCCATGGGTGATAATAAACAATTTCACCAAGTTTCGTCAAAATCTGTCAATAATTGAGCCTTCTAGAATGTTTACAAGCTAGAAATTGAACGCGTTTTCAAGAACAAGGGCAATAACTCATACCAAATATTTTTCGATTTTTCTGATTTTCAATAGGGTTTATCCTTGGGTGATAACAAACACTCATGCCAAGTTTTGTCAAAATCCATCAAGAATTGTCCCTTCTAAAGTGTTTACGAGCTAAAGGTTGAACGTGTGGCGAATTCATTGATTGAGTGGCGAACTCACTGATTGAGTGGCGAACTCATTGATTGAGCGACGAACTCATGGACATAGTGGCGAACTCATGGACGTAGTGGCGAACTCATGGACGTATTGGCGAACTCATTGATTGAGTGGCGAATTCATTGATTGAGTGGCGAATTCATTGATGGAGTGGCGAATTCACTCATTGAGCGGCAAATTCATTGATGTACTGATGTAGCATTGTTTAGTATAATCTTACATCGAAACTAATTACCACAGGTTAACAAAGAATTGCCTAATACCTTAAGTAGTTTTCACAAGTAATAAGTATTAGGATTTCAGAGACAAGAGCGTACACACTAAGCTGTCATTAACATGTCATGGTATTACAATAGGGAGTTGCACAATAGAATAGTCCAGGGTTTATAACGGTAGATTAGATTACTATCAGCATGGGGGATTAAGATTTACAATAGGGTTAATTAACTTACATGTCTACGGGATGAACAATAGGCTTTTGCAAACTTGTGAATGACAGCTTAGTATGTACGCTCTTGTCTCTGATTCTCAATACTTATTTCTTGTGAAAACAGGCTTGTATTGAAAGCTCTATATAGAAAAAAGGGCAAGAAATTGAAAGAAAAATATGCGTTTATTAAATGTTGTGTGATGTAATATTAAATTTATGAAATAATGTTCAATGTGAACTCATGGAAACTAACGAACATTGGCGAAGGTTCTACATCACACGCTTTGGTTGGTTAAAAATAACGTCATAAAGAACGAGCCTACAGTAGAAAACTTTCTCTATAGAAATGTGGACTGGAAATATAGAAAACAAAAAAACAAAATGAAATTTGAATCTAATTCAACAATACAAGTCTAACGCATTCATTATTCATTATTTATACCACCGTATATAACCTATCGTCTGTATTATGATACTTCCTTATCAACTATACACTGTAAAAAAAATTTCTTTCAATTAACAGAAAAATTCCGGCAGCTGATTTATCAGAATTTAAATTTTGCCTTCAGTAATTTAACAGAATTTCTTGTAAAATACTTGCTTTAAATAAAAGAAATATTTTACGACAAAAATCTGTTAAATAAATGACTAATGGATATTCTGGTAAATCTGCTGCCGGAATTTATCCTTGTAAAAAGACAGAATTTTAAAAAGGATATTCTGGTAATAAATCTGTTGCCAGAAATCATTTTCATTTTTCTGTAAAATAACAGAACATTTTAACTTTATTTGTTTATTGATATATATATGTATATATATAATACAGTTTATGATGCAACTCTAATCATTATTCTGTTAATATAAGAAAAAATTCCGTAAATCAACAGAAAAGTATGTATATCAGCAGAAATTTACGTATGTCAACAGAAAATACAAAGTAAATTTCTGTAAAAAAAAACAGTGTAGTGTGAATCAGAAACGTGGCTGGTTCTCTCTAGTCTGTATTTAGAATGAGGATCAAATAGGTGCTTGAGTTAGTATGAAGGTGTAGAAAGATCCTTTTTAAGGAAACTTCAAATATACTGAGTTCAAGGACATTGTAAAAACAACACGTTTGTCAAATCCCAAGGTAATACGTTATTCCCTTATATATTTTCAGGGTGGTTATACAGCCCTGCATATAGCCAGCCAAGAAGGACATGTAGATGTTGTAAAAACATTTTTAAAGAGAGATGCTAATATAAATGCTGTAACTAAGGTAAAGATGTAGCTCTGTATCTTTTAGGTCTAACAAAGAAATAGTATGTACTCGAGTAGATGTGACTGCAAACTTGAGCTCAGTGCTGTATGGGCTTTGCATATTAAAGATCCCACAACTGTGAAATATTGATCATTGCACACTGCCCTACCCCAATCAGGAGCAGGGAAAGTTGGATATTCAATTCCATTTTATTTCAATTCCTCAAAGCTTATATCAAAGTTATTATACTCCATAAATTTTGAGAATCAGAAAGAGATGGAAACTATAAGAAACATCCTACATTTAGACGTTTAATGTATTTCGTTTAAACGAATTAATTATATTGTATTAACTAAATGACTAATTTGTTAAAACGAAATAATTTAAAAAAGTATTGAAAACTTGAAGCCTAAGGTGCTCCTTAGATATTGTAAATTTACCAGTTTGTTAGGTTGAATAACGTTACACGTTGATCAACAACAACTCAAGGTTAATGATTAAACTTTATGTAGAAAACCATGACAAGACTTCAAGATGTTAACAAGACAGTAGTCGGAAGACAGAATGGCTAGATTTACTTACTTTATGCTACATTGCACGGGATTTAAAGAAGGCGAACTTGATTAGTGAAATACACTTCATGGCGTAATATATTTTATTGTTTAACAAATTGAATTATATATATTGTATATAAACAACCTTTATTATTAGTTTGTAGAAATAATTGTTATATTTATATATTATATTATCTCTTGTTACCTACGATATGGGTCTGAGTTAATAAAATTCTGTTCTGTTCTTTTGAAGGAATACTATGTCCAAGAGTGAACATTAAATTTAAGAATTTTAAACTTGGCCAATAAGAGCATATATTCATCAGTAGATATACCTGGTGTCATAAATAACATAACAGAATCCTAAAATGATCCAATAGATTCCAAAAAAATTAATAACCAGAGCTGTAAAAGCAACGGCACTGAAGCAGTGCGTTGCATTCTGGCAGTAAGTTGCAAAGTATCATCGGACTACAACTCGATTAAATAAGCCCCATATATCTCTTAGAGAGGTTACTTGAAACTAGACAATTTTCACAGAGTTTCCTTCTATTGTTGTCCTTCTATTGTTGTTTTGTAAATTACGAGAATATATACCCCTTACGTTTCTTTTAAAATTTTTCACTGGTCAACGATACAATTTATTTCTTAAAAAAATTAAAAAGTACTTTTGTAGAATCAGTCTCTTCAATATTTATAAATTTTGAAATATAGTAATCCATGTTCCAAACATTTAAGAATATTCCTGGCACTCGGCTTGTGTTATTGTCTTATTCGCAATATTCAAATGGCTATAAAAACAGATGTAGACATTGTACAACAAAATCAAAGGCACCATGTGATAGATTTCATCAAGAGCTATGGCTTTTCGTCAGATCACTAGTCACTAAAGGCCAAGGTTACGAGATATGAACCTTAAAAGTTTTGAAAATAACTGTTTTTGGAAGCCTATAAAACCGGAAGTAGGTGTCAGACATCAAAGATCAAAGTACAAATTGACAAATTGAAAAGTTCAAGGTCATCCATGTTAAAGGTCAAAAATGCAAATCTAGTAAATTATAAAACCTGTTCCTTTTTTTAAAGTAAAAATTCCAGATAGATTTACCTTTACCACATATTGGCCAAACTAGTTACCTATTAACCTGCAAAATATTATAGGTGACAATTATATACTTTGCTAGTCAATACATAAGAAATATATAAGGTAAATGTGAATCTGGCCCGGATGTGCCACGCCCATCCCAAAATTTTTGTCACATCTGTTATTATGTGTACAATGCTAAGCTATGTTAAAAATTCCAAGCGTCTAAAGTTATTACATCATGAGATATTCATACTTTCATGTTAAAGGCTTGAGATTTTACGGCAAATGTCAAATTACGCACAGTTACTATAGAAGTCAGTTCAAAATTTTCAAATTTTATTAAGCGCAATTTTGATCAAAATATCCAGTGTTATATACCATTGGAAAGAAGGATAGCCCGTAATAATAGACATGGGACAATAAACCATTATTTTTTAAATTGATAAAACACCAGATATTTTCATATGCGAAATAAACGGAAATATACGAATTTTGAAAAATTTTTGAAAAAAAATTTTTTTTAAGGTGGTGCAGTACCATTTTTCAAAATGGCGGATAAAATTGACGTAAAAATGAAAAAATCTGAAATATTATGTCCCGATCACTGTAAACATAGTTTGTATGCAGTCTACCATAAGGTTTTCGTGGTTGCCAGAGTCAAATATGAGCTCAAAATATTTTTTCAATAATCCAAGGAGGCAGAAATCCAAGATGGCGGCATAAATCCAAGATGGCGGCATAAATCCAAGATGGCGGCCAAAATTTGCGAGAAAATTAGAAATTCGATATAATGAGTCCCGATTTCTGTATACATAGCTTGTATGATGTCTAACATGGGGTTTCCATGATGGCCAAAATCAAATATGGCCTTAAAAATTAATTTTGATAATCCAAGATGGCTGAAATCCAAGATGGCGGCCACACTATCATCAATTCCTACTGGTTTGGGAATGAATCAAGGATATGGCTTGTTTGGTGTCTAACACAACCATCTAATAATGAAATGCAACCAAGATTCATTTCCAATTGATGATGTCATGATATAACTGGAAATTTTGAACTGAAACTGTACTATTCGAGTGAATATGACAGAGAGGAGGAGTAGTGATTTGAAACTTATAGAGAAGAGACTCAATTTTTGATAAAATCCAAGCTTCAAAATGGTGTGCATGTCATTGGCAGGATGCTCTCACTGTGTAAAACTGTGCCTGGACGGAAAAACATTTGTGAGGAAGATGCAAGCTGTGTCGTCGCCGAGGAATTAAGGCAAGATTGGATCAGAAAAAGAGTCTACCGAAATATTCTACGTGATTATTTAATGTTCCGAGAATTTAGAAAGGTGGAAAATCGATCTGATAGAAAGAAGACACTGTCATGGTTGGAAAAAGCTGGCAAATTCAACAACCGCATGAGAAATCACGCCTATGATATAAGGTCCAAATCAATCGAGTACGATGGGCAGCTGGCTAAGGAATACGGCGTGCGAATGACGATGGAAGACCAGGTATTCTGGTATGATAATTGCTACGGCGACTATATAGTGACCTCAACAAGTATCATCCCGCGAAACTGGTCGAGGAATAAAAAGAGGGTGTTAGACCGTGAAGAAGTGATGAATATAAAACGATCCAAAATGAACGAAGCGATTTATGTTACATATTCAGGTGACAATAGTGGAATTCTAATTCATGATGATGATGATGATGATGATGTTGATAACAATAATGACGACGACAGTGAGTATGAACATTACATGTCCGCATCAGATCTAAGCAACAACTGTGATGAGTCTCATGTGACCCGATTTGTAGGAGAACCAAATAACAAAACTAAAAAACAGTTCCCATCAATTCAAATCAGATCCGGCCATAAAACAATTCACGAACCACTGATGCGCTGTCTCGTCCACTGTATCTCAAAGTATAAGGTCACTACTAATGACCTGATGGGAATCACTGAATCGATAGCCAACACGATATTTGATCAAAACTGAATTGCCCGAAGACCTGAACGATTGTTAAAGTGACTTTAGTGGGGATGAAATAGATGATCCCAAGAAGAATCGTACAGCTCGTGAACTCATCTTAAACATTTCACATTCACTGGATAAATATGACTGGAAATATGAGAAAATTAAAATCAAAATTCAAAAATCGGCTTCCTGAGAATTGTTTGCAATCGATTGAAGATAACATAGACATCAACATCACACACATCCGATTACCCGTTTTACAAAAGTGAGTCATATCAATATGGCGGTTGACCTGTTACTTCCGGGTCGGATTTTTTAAATATTATATCTTTACATGGGCAATTCTAGCTTATTGCAAAAATAATTTTTCAAATATCTTCAAAATTCCGGAAGTTGAAATTTTCAGTTTAAAAGACTATCTACCTGTAAATTTTCAGATTGATCGAAATTAAATTGTAAAAGTTAAAAAATACTCAAATTTTGAAAATCAAAAAGTCAGCGACAAAAGTCAAAATTCTGAAATTCTTGAATTGCCAATCTGTAGAACTCAGTTCAAAGCAGTTAACTTATAAAGTCCGATCAAAATCAGATCGAAATTAGAGCCGCTATTTAGAAAAAAAGAAAAAACAAATTTTCATCCTACGTCATTTCCGGTGCTTCAAAATATATTCATATTTTAAAGTTTCACGAGTCTGACAAGGAAATGAAAAAGTGAGTATGTGGCATGTGTAGTTTAGGCTAGGCAATGGCAGCAGAATTCGAAAAAAAAACACAACAAAACTAGAGCCACTCGTGGCACAGAGTGGGACTTTGCTAATGTGGCAAATTGCAGGAGACTCTGAAAATATCAACCTCTTACGTTAATTAGGTCACGTGCCAGATTAGTCTAAAGTCACGCCATTTATCTCTATAGAAAGTTGTGAAACCGGAAGTAGAAGCGAGAAATGAAAGTATCAGCGAATAGCCAAGGTCAATGACCTTTGACCTTGTAAAGAGGAAGGTCAACAAAGGTCAATGTCAAAAATTGAAATTATGGAAATTCTAAAACCCGTTCCTTTTTTGAACTATAAAGCTGAAACAATTGAGATTTTAACACAAACTGGCCAAATGGATGATGCATAAACTATGCGAGTTATGCCCCTACCCCAGATTTAAACGATTTGTAGTTTAACCCGGATGTGCCACGCCCACCTCAACTGTTTTGTCATAGTTCTATTTATATTCAAAATGTCTAGTTGTGTTCCAAATTTCTAGCTCCTACATCAAATAGGTCATAAGATATACATAAACTAAGCTCGAAGAGACAAAAATATTGTGATAAACACTCAAATTTAAAAAATATACGAATTTCAATTTGCTTTAAAAATAGGATTGTTATACATCGCTGGAAAGAGCATGAGATGCACTTTAAGAATCCGAAAAAAATAACACTCTAGGTTAATTAGGTCACGTGCTAGAGCAGTCCAAACTTGCGAATTTGCTGTTTTTAGACACTCATAAAACCGGAAGTAGATATCGGATGCCAAATGTCAAAGCATCAAGTGATAGTCAAGGTCAATGGCCTTTGACCCAATAAAGGTCAAGGTCATGAGATATGAGCCTCCAAACTTCGAAAAAATTCAACCGGAAATTGCAAAAGAGCAAAAACAAAATTCAAAAATCGGCTTCCAAGCAATTTTGGGCAATCGATTGCAGTTAACAAATACATCAAAATTTCTCACATCCATCTCTACCCTAAGGCCCCATTTTGAGTTTTACAAAAGTGTATCATATCAATATGGCGGCCAAAGTATGACCTCCGGCTCGGATTTTTTTTTCTTCGTTTTTTTGTCTTAAAAATGACTACTGATCAGCATACATTTTTTTGAGATATATCAATTACACCGGAAGCTATTCAACCGGAAGTTAAATTCGTTTTCACGAGTTAGCCGGAAGTGATACAAAAATTTTGATTATACCATTTTTTTTACTTTGGCGAGTTGTCTACACACATAGATTTTAAGATCAATTGGCAAAAAAAGTCAAAAATTGCAAAATTTGAATGAAAAAAGTATGCTACGAATTTTCGAATTTCGAATTCTTTAACCCGGATGTGCCACGCCCTCGTCAATTTTTTTTTTTGATGGATACATTTATATGGGGTATGATTAATTATGGTCCAAATCTAAAGCCTCCGAACTTAAAAGATCATGAAATGTGCATTTATTAATGTCAATATATTCAAAAAATCGGGTAAAGGTTTCCAAGATTGCAAAATTTAAAAATTTAAAATTTTGCATTACAATACATTGTGATATATGGTTGGAAAGAGCTCATAAAGCCCATTCAGAATATGCAAAAATGAACTCTCTAGGTTAATTAGGTCACCTGTAGGGGCAGTACAAAGTTGCGAATTTGGCTATTTTCGGACAGCTATGAAACCGGAAGTAGATGTCGGAGGTCAAATTTCAAAGTATGATCTGATAGCCAAGGTCAATGACCTTTGACCTACTAAAGGTCAAGGTCATCAAAGGTCAAGGTCACGAGATACAAGCCTTCAAAAATTGAAAAAAATTCGACCGGAAGTTGCAAAAAAGCAAAAGTCAAATTAAAAAATCCATTTGCAACATTTTTGTCGCCATCGACTAAAGTATACACCAACATAAAAATTTGACCGATCCCATTCTCCCCCGAAGCCCCATTTTGAGTTTTATGAAAAAGTATCAAATCAAGATGGCGGCCGAAGTATTTTTTTCGGACTAAATTTTATTTTAAAATCGGCCATAGAATTACGATTAATAACGATAAAGATAATTTCGTTGAAATATTTCAATCACACCGGAAGTTATTCAACCGGAAGTGAAAATCGATTTTCCACTTTAACCGGAAGTGACGCAAAAATTTTGAATACGTCAAATGGTTTACATTAGTGACATGCATCTTTTATCAAAATTTCAGATTAATCCGAAAAAACTGAAAAATGGTCCAAAAATTTCGAAAATCGGCCAAAAAATGTTTGCTACGAATTTTCGAAATTTGAAATTTTTTTAACTCATATCACATCGGAATTTAGTCACAGATTCCAAAAATGAAAACCCGAGCAAAATCGGCCCAAAAATGTGGCTTCCAGGGTCAAAAAACCCGTTTTTGCTCAGGTTGCAATGTGCAATTTGCATTTTTGCAAAAATGTTCCAATTTATATTTAAAAAGTAGGTCGCCATGATGCGACGTCAGAACATATTTCAGAAATGTTGCAGCTAGCATAGTTTAGGCTGTGTGCCCTGTGGAAAAATCGAAAAAAAAATAAAAAGAATAGACATTTCGAAAACAAACTGGGACTTTGCGGTCCCACAACTAGAGCCGTAAGTGCAACGGCGCTGAAGCAGTGCGTTGCATCCTGGTAGAAAGATGCAAAGTAACGACGGACTACATATGCTCCAAACTTCATTATGTCTATTAGATAGGTTTCGTAAAACCAGAGAATTTTCAAAGATTTTCCTTATGATGTTAAATCGTAAATTACCAGATTATATACCTCTTATGTTTCTTTTAAAACTTTTCACTGGTCAACGATACAATTCTAACACATTTTTAAATTTCTTTTTTAAAAAAATTAAAAAATACTTTTTTAGAATTGATTTTTTGTGTGGACTTGGATCAGTCTCTTCATTATTTAGACATTTTGAAATATAGGAATCCATGTTCCAACCATTTAAGAAAATTCCTGGCACTCGATTTGTGTTATTGTCTTATTCGCAATATTCAAATGGCTATAAAACCAGATGTAAACATCGTACAACAAAATCAAAAACATCATGTGATAGATGTTGTCAATGGCTATAACTTTTATTCAGGCGACATAGTAACCACATGTCAAGGTCATGAGATATGAGCCTATAAAACCTGAAAGAGGTGTCGGACATCATAGATCAAAACATGAATTGACATTATAGATCAATGACATTTGACCTTGAAAAGGTCAAGGTCATCAAAGATGAAGGCGAAATTTAGTCAATTTTAAAACCTATTCCTTTTTTAAAAGTAAAAAGCCCAAACAGATTTATCTTCCTACGATATTGGCCAAACTA